CGCCGAAACGAGCCCAAAGAAGGATGATGCAGCTAATTAATAAGAACAATCCGTTGAATATGATGAAGATTTTTTTTATGTTGTCGGAATGTCTTTTAACTACCAATTTGAAGATAATGTTAGGGGTGCGCACTGGGAGGCCTTTTCCAAAGTTCACGTGTCCAGACCGCCGGACAGCGCGACTCTCGCGGCCGCGGCACCGGAACAGAGAACGAACTGCTGCGCCAGAAGTCAAGACAAGCATTTAGAAAGTTTCTTCCCTTCTTTGACCGAGTATTAGTTGAAAGAAGTGCTGCGGAAACTGTAACCAAAGGAGACATTATGCTTACATCAAAATCTCAAGGAAAAGTATTGCAAGCAACAGTAGTAGCTGTTGGATCGGGCTCTAAAGGAAAGGATGGAGAGATTCAACCAGTTAGCGTGAAAGTTGGAGACAAAGTTCTTCTTCCAGAATATGGTTCTAGACGACAGAGATTATTTCTTATTTAGAGATGGCGACATTCTTGGAAAGTATTTTGATTTAAATAAGTCGCTATTGAAATGGCATCCCGTGAAGCTGCTGCCCATTCCACTGAAGTTCTGAAATCGCATCATGTAAATAATTTACATCTCTCTTTTGTAATAAATTAATGATATCCAAAACTAAAAAGAAAAAATAAGATAATATTAGGAAAGATAATAGCAAGGAAAAATTATAGTCACAAATACAAAGTCTGGAGTTAAGACGACCTGGGCACTATACCCAGCACTACACTGACCATTTGACCTTAAACTGGTCCTAATCTTTGTAAGTTTTAGTTTCTTCATCTGTCAAGTGGAAATTATTGCACATATTTAAAAGCAACTTTTCTCAAACTTGGTCTCAGGATCCCTTTACAGTCTTAAAAATGATTAAGGACCCCAAGGAGCTATTGTTTATGTGGGATATTCACCAAATTCTAAATTAAAATGCAGAAATTTAAAAACTACTTCACCTAAAACCAATAAATTAATACATGTTAATATAGCTTATTGAATAAACTACACTATTAAAAAGAATAGAGTTGCACTATATAATTTTTGCAAATCTCTAATGTCTGGCTTAACAAGACTGCTGGATTCTCATATTTGCTTCCCCAATCTCTGTTATAGCATGTTACCTTGGTCTAGGAAATTAAGAAAATCCTCTCATACAGATTTTTTTAGCCTTCTCTTGTAATTGTGGATACCCTTCTTTGACACTAGCAAAACTCAACAAGTGGTAGTTTCTTTAAAGTTAGTTACTATGGGGAATCTGAAACCATTTGGAAAATATTAGTTTATGGAGAGCTATGCAGATCTTCCCAATATTGATGCGTTACATTACTCAATATTAAAACCGCATTTATTAAAATCATCACTGATCTTGTCTGTCTTGTGAAGCTGTTAATCTCACTTTGGTGAATACCACATTTTCCAAAATTATCATTTTTGCTTGAAAGCTCAAATTTTATCATTGGTAGAAATACTTTTAGTCATTTTCCTTGAAGTGACAGGCCCATTTTGTTCAAATATCCAAGTCTGAATAACCAGTCTTTCTTTCAAATAAAAATGGTGTTCTATGAAAAAGAGCAGCTAATTCAACTCACACATCTCAAACAATTGCAGAACCATACACTTCAGTTAGCAGTGAAAGTGCTTTATGCATATCTTCCATTTCATCCTATAGAATATTAAAAAGTCATATACTTTAAGAAAGAGATTTCATAAAGTCAATAATTTGAACTACTTCATCAAGGATAGTCTTAAGTGAAAGTGGCTTGTTAATTCTTTTTTTTGCATAGGTGTGGTAGTGAAGAATACTCTAGTTCAAGTTGGTGCCACACTGCCTTGATTCATACTGAAGTGCCAGCATCATCCACCTGAATATTAATAAATGTTTTAAAATACATTCATTAAATAATTTGAATGTAATATAGGTTTCACAGACAGGTGGTGCCCTATCTCAAGCTTATTTTTTCAACAATTTCTAGCAATTGATAATGCATCCAATCCTTATCATACCAGAAATGCTAGCAAATGATATAAGTACCTCTCCAAGCAGTGATCCCTTCACTTGAGAAAACCAGTCAATGTCAGGGCTATGAGTGCATGATTTTAGTAGTGGAGGTTTTAATTACTGTCCATTACCACCTGGAAGTCACCGGAGAATCAGACAGCCCAGGAGAAGTAAGAGAAACAGATGGCTCTTAAGTATATATTTGCCTTTTAAAAGAGAGTGCTTGTTAACCCCATACCCTTTAGGATGGCTACTATTAAAAAAAAACAAACAAGCATTGTGAGGATGTGGAGAAACTAAAACCATTGTAACTGTTGTGCACTATTGGTTGAAATGTAAAATGGTGCAGCCACTGTGGAAAATAGTATGGCAGTTCCTCAAAAAATTAAAAACAATTGCCATGTGATCCAGCAATTCCAGTTCTGGGTATATAACCTAGAGAATTGAAAGTGGGGTCTCTCAAGAGAGATTTGTACATTCATGTTCATAGCAGCATTATTCACAATAGCTAAAATGTGGAAGCAAATCAAGTGTCCAGCAATGGATGAATAGATAAGCAAAATGAAATATATATGTGTGTGTGTGTGTGTATGTATGTATATGTATATGTATGTATGTGCATATATGTGTATAAATGTATTTACATACATATATACCCACAATGGGATAGTCTTCGGCCTTCAAAAGGAAGCAAATTTTAACATATGCTACCACATATGTCCATATGAACCTTGAGAACATTATGCTAAATGAAATAACCCAGTCACAAAAAGACAACTACTATATGATTCCACTTATATGAGATACTTAAAGTAGTTAAAATCATAGAGATAGAAAGTAAGATGGTGGTTGTCAGGGGCTGGGGGAAGGGAGAAATGGGTAGTTATTATTTAATACGTAGAGAGATTCATTTTTACAAGATGAAAAGAGTTATAGAGATGGGTGGTGGTGATGGTTGCACAACATTATGAATGTATTTAATACCACTGAACTCTACACAAAAATGGTTAAGATAGTAAATTTTATATTTTACACATACATATTTACCACAATACTTAAAATTGGGGAAGAAAATGAATCAAAGAATTTCAGACAGTGCAGAAGAAAATATTTTTAAAGTTCTGTACTTCCCCAAATAGAGACAGAATTGAATCCAGTTAAGCCTGATTCCGAGTCCTAATTCTTTTTTGTAACATCATACTTCCTCCCTTCCCCACATTACTTGTGATGTTAGCAACTTAATGTGACAGACACATTTCCTGTGGGCATGAGCAATGTCACTTCACATGTTGTCAAGCAAGATTATTATGACTGAGTTGCCATTACCCTTATAAAGAAAATAAACTCTGAGGGCCTGAATAACTTAAAATGTCACCACTCTTATGGGAAAAGAAAAGAACTAAACCCATTTAATCCCAAAAGACTTTCCAAAAATGTCTTGTTAATAATGCAGAGACAAGAGTTTGACATCCATCCTTGGCAGAATTCCAGAACAGATTATTAATAAGAGAGCTCTGAGTTGATTGCAGATTAGCATAAACCAGTGGTGCTCTGCTACCTAAAAAGAGGTGACTTTTGACTGCCTCAATTCAAGAATGGCATAGAGCACCGGGACAGTGATGGCTTCCTCTACTTTGAAATATACACATAAAAGCCAGAATTTACTAACAAACTAGATGTGCTAGATCTGAAACTGCTGTCCTATGATGTACAGCTTAAGAAAATGGTCACATTGAGCCTAGAAAAGTGAGACATTAGGGTGAATTTCAATACTAGAAGGAAAATATGAAAGAGAAATTAGGTTTATAGAACAGAACTGTATGCAGCTACAGAAGCCAGATGTAAAGGAAATAGATGGCATTTACATGGGGAAGCAGAATTCATCTCACTATGAGGAACTGGGATAGCAGCATTGTATTCAGACAGGAATATGGCTTGGGAGTTAGAAAGAAATAACATCAAATCTTGATTCCACCACTTTTTTGCTGGATGCTGTGGGACAGGTTATAAAACCTCTGAGCCTTTTCTGCAAAATGGAAATAGTAATTCTCACCTCCCAGGTGTGTTGTGAGGATTAAAGGACATTAATCAAATACTTAAATTCCCTAGCATTGTGGTAAGCAGTGACTATTATTACAACTAATTTTTAATCATTAAAATTATTAAAAACAGAATTGGACACTTCAGGAGGGAGTAAATAGATGAATTTTTGTGTGGTCATGGACACTCAACCCAAATGTCTTAGAAAGAATTGCCCTCTTCTCTGTGTTCTCACAGCCTTTTTAGCAAAACTCTCTATTATTATATTGCTGGTCTGGATTTCTTATATGGTAATTCCCCCAGAGCCCTGCACAGTGCCTGGCTCCATAAAACATAGAAATGCAGACTCCAGCATTCTGGGGTAGAGTGCAGTACACTAGTTGCCTTTCTCCTGTTCCTCTGATTAGGAGGATATTTAAATATGCAAAGTAAGGGGAAAAAGTCATCTTCTGGTAGCTCTGTCTGTTTAGTTCCTGATTGGATAGGGAGTTGGAAGTAAGGAAAAGAGTTTTAAAAAATACAAATCTGATGTGAAGAAAAGAGATGAAGGAAAACTTGATGACCTCCATATTGTCAGATTGGCGAAAGACGTCTCAATAATTCACTTAATATTTTATTCAGCAAAAATTGCTTGACTACTGTATGTCAAGGACTGTGCTCAGCCATGGGGACAGAGTGATGAACAAAAAGCAAGGGTTCTGCCCTTATCAGAGTTTAGAGTCCCAAAGAGAAGGCAGATGTAAATTAATGACAATAAAGTGGGGTGAATATTATTATGAGAGACTGAATCTCCATATGAACAGGTTTGGGGACAGCCATCTAGCTGAAACAGGAAAACTAAACCACTTATCCCAAAGAATAACAAGTGTTAAAATCAAAAACAAATGGAGACCACAACCCTGAAACTTCCTTGAGGAGATGAAAACCAGTTTAGTCAGAGAAGCAAAGCTAAATTTAGCTTATTTTGTAAGACTAACTTGATCTGGGTCTTTCTTGCCTCTGGAAATCATAACCAAAACTTGAACTGTTTCCCAAAGTCGATACGAAGTAACCACTAACCAATTCCCTATCATTTAAGAAAATTCTAATATTATAACCAAACACTGTGAAGAATAAACAGTCACTGCTTTCTCACTATATAATGCTTTACAACAATATACTTCTAGGCCTCATTCCATATTTTGGTTTGAGGGCTCCCAGTTTGCAAACTGTCTTGTTGGTGTGTGCATAATAAATTTTTACTGATTACTATTTCAGTGAGTCATTGGTTTTACTTTGGCTATTTCTGAACCTTTGACACAAGCATGGTTTTTGCCTGTTTCAACGTTTCTTTGTAGTGGCTGGGTGAAGAACGCTCGTGGATATATTAATGGTTCTGCACTAAAGCTACTCACTGGCACAGTCAATGAAAAAGAGTAAGTTCAGGATGCCATGATGACACCTACCAGGGGAACCTAACCTAGTATAAGGGGCAGGGAGGGCCTCGAAGGGGAAGTAATCTAAACGCTGAGAAGTAGGAGCCTTACAGAGATTTGAGGGGGCGGAAACTGAGGCTTTCAGAGATTATTGGAGATTTGGTAAAGTTCTGATGAGAAACCTGTTAAGATTAAAAAATTTCGAGAATGTGAATTACTGTCCAGAAGTGCCTGATTTTTCAGACCAACCATCAAGGGGATCGCTTGTAAAAACCACATAATTTAATTTTCTCGACAGGAACGTTCTAAATTCTAAACTATAGCGCTTGCAGTTTAAAAACTAAAACTCCCTGAAACCCTAGACGATGCGTGGCGACGTAAGACGTGCGCAGCATTTCGGATCTTGTAGTCTCGGATGGACTTCGAGTCCCATAGTGCTGTGCAGCGGGTCGTCGCGCCTGCGCGGTGCGGGCGGCGGGCAGCGCAGAGTGCAAGGCTCTTTTGTTCGGCAGAGGGGAGGGCCGTTGGCCGGGGCCTGCGGTACGCCGCTTCAGTGAGGGGCTCGACCGCGGCCACCCGGCCTGTTGCTTTTCTGGGCGCCACTCCTCCGGCCTGCCCGACACGACGCGCCAGTAGCGCGGCACCGATTCTTCTCGGCTCTTGGGCGCTGCTCTGAGGTGAGTCTGCTAGAGGCGGGGAAACGGGGGGTGGGGGGATACGGAGGTCGGCGCGCGGCTGCGGCCGAAGCCCTGAGTGAGGGGTCGCGCGCTAGCGGCGGAGGTTGGGTGCGGGGAGCGCGCCAGGGCCCTGCGCCCTTCCCGCGCGGGTCTTTCAGCCGCGCGCGGGGGCTCGAACACTGGGCGCCAGAATGATGGAGAGGGCGGGGCGGCGTATCCTGAGCCGGACATTACAGCAATTCGGGCTGGGCCGAGCCCTTGCGGGTCTCACTTCACGGCCCGGATAGACCCAGACAATGCTACTTGGGTTGGGTAGGTGGCTGCAGGATTGGGCTGGAAAGACTTTCTAGTAAATTGAGAAGGGGACAGGCCGGGCAGTCTTGATGTTCGGACATGCATGGGGAGGGTTCATAACTGCAAGACGTGAGGTTTAGAAATGTAACCTGAGAATTGGGGATCCTGCCGGGGCTCCCAGAGGAATTTTGCTTGCAAGAGCTAGGGATAAGTAACTTCGAGTAAGTTGTAGAAAGGAGCTGGGCAGCCCAGGATGTGCTACTAGGGGAGAAGATTATTGAATAAACTGGGAGTGGGGGTGGAGTGGGGAGGCTAGGAGAAGGGGCAATTATTTGCTTGACTCGGCTCTAGAAGGGAAGGAGCTGTTAGGGTAAACTGGACTGAAGTCCCGAGAGTATATTTCTGTAAGGTCAAGAGAAAAAGGGAAACCTGGCCGCCTTTGCTTCCTGATGGGTCTTTACCCAGGGGGGAGGCTGTAAGAATAATGTGTGAAAAAAGGATGGGATATGCTTTCTTCCCTTTCCCAGGTTTTATTCTGTCTTCACTCTGTGATTCCTTTAGGGAGCTAAAAAGTCCAAGTGTAGCTCTTGCTTTGATTCAGAATTAGTTTCATAAGTTTTTATCTGGGACTTTTACTGGTTACAAAGGGCAGTGAAATCGTAGAAATGTGTAGATGAGTTAATATTTAGGGAATGAAAATAAGTTGGGAAAGATGTGAGAAATTGGGAGACACAAGAAATAAATGTTCGTTAGATCGTGAACTTTGTTTTCTTAGGCCCTTTCCTTTTTTAACCAGCCTTTCCCTGTTGTTGGAAGATTTGAATGCAAAGTGAGCAATACTTAACCCCTTTTTCAAAGCTTCAGGTGAAGATTTTTTTATGAACGATGTTATATTCAGACAGGTATTTTAACTCAACTGAAGTGGAGTTGACCAAAAGATCAGTTATACTAGAAACTCTGGCCCACGGGTAAGATAGCTTCCTCTGTTATGTTAAGAACCTGTGTCAGCAGTTTGGAATAGTTCTAAAAGGCCACTGCTTTTGAAATAGATGCATGAATACAATTGAGAAATTAGTGCCTATGCCCTTCCATAGGAGTTTACAGACATTTGTATAGAAAACGGTGTGGTTGAAGGGCACCTTGTTGGAACTGGTTGGCCCTTAATAAAGCTTTAGGGCAATTCAGGATTTTCAGTCTTTTCTGATTTTCCCTGTGGTGCTATTTTTCTTCATTGGCCGAGTAGCCTAAATTGTTTTTCATTAAAATGTAAATAGTGTGTAGCCTGGTGCTTTTAGCTTCCTGATTAAAAGAGACCTAGTAAAGATACCCTGGCCTTCTGTATTTTTGACTACAGAATACTAATAATTTTCTAACCATACACATAAAGAAAAGCAACTATTATATATTCTGGTACCCATTTTAGTAATTAGGAAAATGTTTCTTTTTGAGTTCATATCTTTTTAAATTTATCCATAAAAATCTTCATTTTTTTATATACTATCTCTGGTGGTATAACAGATTTTGCATTACATTTGATAGATTTTCCTTCATAGGTTATTTCCCTGAAGAGTTTTTGGAATAAATGCTAATGGTTGGTTTATGGGCTCACATAAGATGAGGCCAGGCCTCTTATTCATCTAAATATCTGGCACATAATAGGTGGTTCAGATTGCCGAGTGAATGGCTAGGGCCTTGAGATCCTTTCTGAGAATTCATGTATTAGCAGAATGAAATTAATGTGCAGTTATGTAATTAGTTTGCCTGCCTTGGATCTATGACCTTTGGCAGAGTAAAACTGTTGCCTGTCTTAGCCTCAGTTTTTAATATAGTTATCCTGCTATTAAATACAGAAAAGGTATGCAGATTGTGCAGGTTACAATTTTAAGTACTTTAGTCAAGGACTAGGAGAGGCGCCAGGTTCTAGGTTTCAAGAGCAAGCTATGTAGTTTGAATATTTTATGTTTTAAAAGTATGTCGAAAAATGTTTTGTGTCCTTTGTATACAGTTAAATAAGTTTTTCCTAATAGCAATGTCAGTTGGAAAATTGAATAGCCTTCCCAAGGTTAACTGGGGAAGTTATTCAAATATGGACAAAGTTCAGATATCCTGTCAGTATTTGAATTGAATAACTGTGTTAAATCTTTCCTACTTTTAGTTTTTATGATTGCTGACCAAAAGGGAATGACCTAATTTGTCTGTGAAATTGTATTTTTCTTTTTTAAGAACAGCTAATATATTGGGGGCCTAATAGTACTATGGTATTTGAGTGTGAAGATACTTTTTTTTTTCCTAACGCCTACAGCACCCGGTATTCCTAGGTGGTCTCCCATCCAAGTACTAACCAGGCCCGACTCTGCTTAGCTTCCGAGACCAGACGGGATCGGGCACGTTCAGGGTGGCATGGCTGTAGACTTAGAACTGTGGTATTTGAGAGGTTAGTATCAGCAATCTGGTTTTGTTTTGTTAGCTATGAATATTTTGGTTTCTGCTTTTAATTTAAACTTAGTCATAATTCTGGTCTAGCTCTAATCATTTTTATTTCATCTTAAACTAAAAAGATCTTCGATATCGCTGGGTCCTAGTAATATTTGCAGTTCCTTGTGGCCTCTCAACCTAAACCTATAGTTTCATCCACAACACACTGAAAGTGAGTTAGCCAACTTTCTGGATACAGCTCAGATAATATTCTAATTTTATTCACACACCAGTATTTCAGTCCTAGATCCAGGAATTCTTTTAAAAATGAAACCCCTGCTCACTGAGTATGTGGCACAAGTTCTTGTTTTCTGCTCAGTAAAGTTTTCCATCTGGAAAGCATTTGCCTCACAAACAGCCACAGCTAACAGACTAAAAGTGGTTTAGAAACATGAATCACGAGGACTACAAACTGAATATACTACACATGCCTTCACCTGCCTTTTGATGACTGGTACTTGGTTGCTAATGTTCAGCAAAGGTACTTCTTCCTTGTTTTCCATTTAGGATTTGTAGGTCAGATTTATCTTGCTTAAAAAATTGACGGCTTTGGACTTCTGCTTCCTGCTTATCTAAATTTGAGACATTCATCCTTATTGTCTGCCCAGTGTAGGGTTCAACACTTTGCATGGAGCCAGATATACTTTTGAATGTCTGAGTGAAAATAGAAACAATGATTTGGGAATTGCAAGGAAAAGAGAAATAATATTCGGCTAGGTTGGGTTAGGTTTTGTGGAAGAAGTAGCATTTAAGCTGGTTCTTAAAGGGTAGATAGGATTTTGACTGCCAGTCTTAGACAGGCACACACTTTTTAATAACGAGTAAAGCCATGTACGGAGGAATGTGCAGGATATGTTCGGGTTATAGTTTTCTGTTTTGACAGCAGTGTAGATTTTGTAAGGGAAGGCAGAATATAGAATGGTTGGAACTATATGGTGTTAGATGTTAAATACTGTGGAGTTTGGCTTTTGTTTTAAAGAGGAGGAGTCCTTGTAGAAAAATTTTTAACAGTTACCTACACTTTCCTATTCAGTTTAGTCCCGCCCAAACTGGTTTACACACTGTGTCTACCTCAGACGTGCCTCATTGTTTTTGTTCATAACAGTCCTTGGGCCAAATTGCCCTCCTTCAATCCACCTTTTCAAATGCTGTTGGAGTTTGGCTGCAATCCCAACTTTCAAAACCTTTTTAATCACCATAGCCATTTATTCCTCCAAGCCCCTGTCGTGCTTTTGTGGCTACTTATTATCGTTTATATTTCTTTTGCTAATTATTACATACTCTAGTCATTTCTCCTATTGAAATGAACTTCAACTTTTTTTTTTTAATCGTTTTATATGGTTTTACTTTTCAGTCATGGATCTGTGTCTTCCTGTTGGGAGACTTTGGGAAATTTTCTTTGCTTCAGTAAGCCTTAGTTTCCTCATTTGTGAAATGGACTTAATACAGTTGTGAGGATTGAATTAAGTGTCTATCTGCATTAGGTGTTATGTATTCAGTAAACGTTAGTTATTGTGTTATTATCACTTACCCTTAAGGGATTCTCAAAAGCCTGTACTTCTTGGTGTCTGCACATCTCCCTAGCCTAACCAAACAGCTCCATTTGCCTGGGTCTGAGAGGGTTCCTGCAATTTGGAACTTTCTGTGGTTTAGCCAGAGTGACTTGTCACCCTGTATTCCACCCAGGAATGCTTATTGATTTGATTTTTTAATAGGTAATATTAAAAGCTAGTAGAGCTGTAGTTATACACTTTTAAAGCTATTAATTGACTGGTCCTAAACCTAAGCAAGAGGCAAAACAGGGAAGGAAAACAAGGAATGTAAAAGAAGCTAGATGAAAGAAGAAATGAAGTGGTAAATGATATGCATGATAGTTATTTTCTGGTCCTTGCCTGCCACTCCCTTAGTCTAGCTCTTTCAAACCTGGCCACAGTTCTCTTCTTCAGATAAAACAAGCTCTTCTCACCTTAGGACTTTAAACCAATTATTCTCTAAACTCGATGTGTTTTTCTGATTTTGCTGAGTTTTTCCTTGTTATTTGGGTCTCTGTTTAAATGTTAATCTAAATGTATTTTCTTTATAGCATCTATCACTAAGCTTATTGTCTGTGTTCTGCTTGTGCTGCACATGCATGTGTGCACACTCCCACTCATGCTCACTCACTGTCCACATAAGAATAGAAACTCTAAGAGGCCAGGGATTTTGTCTGTTATGCTCACCCCATTTTTTGA